TAAATTTAGATTAATTTATTTTTTTTAAATTCTTTTTTAATTGATTCAAAACTTAAAAATACTTTATTAAATTCACTTATATAAAAATATTTAAAAATATTTATTAAAATAAAAAATATTATATACATATTTAAAATTGAATTTAAAAAAAATATAATTTTATATTAATTTATAATTATTCATAAACATATTCTTCACATAAATTTCATTGTATTTATAATTTTTTATTCAAACATCAATTATATTTAATAATTTTTTATAAATAATATAATATTATAAATATCACGTTTTAAATTAATAAAAAAAAATTTAAAATTATGTTACATAATTGAATTACAATGAATATTTTAAAGATTAAATTGATCTAAATATAAAAGAAATTAAATAAGATATTTTAATAAATAAAAAAAAGGATAAATTTATTTATTTATAATAAAGCAAAATTATTTTCATTGGTGGATTCGACCCTGTTTGTGTCTCTCCCAATTGGAGCAGAAAGTGTTGTTGAGTTAGCACTTAGCAGTTTTGGCGACGACGGTGGTGAAAATCAGAATCGAAAAAAATGGAGAAAGTGAAAGAGAAAGAGAAAGTAGTAGAAAACTGGAGCGAGGCGGTGGAAGACCTTGTCGACGCCGGCGACGTGGAATCGGCGATCTCACTGCTCGAATCCGTCGTGGAAACCCTAAACCCTTCCGATTCGCCTTCGCAGCTTCAATTGGCCTCTGCTCTCTCCGACTTGGCCAACCTTTACTCCTCCAAAGGCTTCTCTCTCAAAGCCGATCACCTTCACTCTCGCGCTTCTCTCCTCAGGCATTCCACGTACGTGCCTCTCTCATCGCTTCCTAATTTCTCTTTTTCTTTCACTCGCCAATTTCTTAATTTCAATTCCTTTCAGCCGCCAACGACCTCCGAAAGAGGAGGACCGAGTCGTCGAATCAACCACCGTTGCTTCTCAAGGAAGCGTTGATAAGCGTGCGGACTTGCCTGCTCCGACCTCCGCCGCTGGTGGTTCTTCCGATGAAGGTACGACCTACGACGTCTTTTCGTTATCTTCGAACAGCATTCATGTGTATGTGTGGATGTAAAAGGTTTTGGAGCGAACTTTGAAATCACTAGTCACATCACCTCATTTGTGCACGATTTCTCGCAATGTTAAGAATTGTGATGAAACCACTGATGTGACCACGATGAAACCACAGCATCAAGGTTTTTGGAGCAAACTCTGAAATCGCTAGTCGCATCACTACATTTGTTAACAATTTCTTGCAATATTAAGATTTGTGATGAAACTACTTATGTGACTTCAATTGTAGCCGCAACATTGATGAACGCGATGAAATCATTCCCTGGCAGCAATTATGGTTACATAAGCTGCATTTGTCTGCAATTTTCTGCGATAAACTTGACGAAATAGTGTGATTGAGAGTTTTGCGAGTGTTTGAAGAATGATTGAATGATATCTTGTGTTAGTTATTGCGATTGTGCAATGTGAATGATATTGTGAATTGTTATTACAGATTGGGAAGCAATAGCTGATCTTGAACCCGATGAGTTACTGCCTGCGGTATCCTCGGATTGTTCGTTTGGAATGTCAAATCTTAAATTGGAGAATAAGAAAAGTGGAACCCCAAAAAGGCGTGGAAGAGGGACATTCTCTTATGAGAAACAAGAGCTTTATAGTGATCAGTTAGTTGGTAGCTCGGTGGTTGATGTTGAGCGTGAAGAGACTCAATGTAGTTCGGAAGATAATAGAGATGTACGAAACTGTAAGTTGTGCCTCATGGCATTTCAATTTTTCAGTTAAAAACTAGTTATGTGTGAATTTTGTGCACCCTTATTTTTTATTTTTGTGCCACGGGGTATTTTGCATATGCAATGGTTTATAGTGTGCTTGTTGGTTATGATTGCTTGTATACCACAACAGATCATAATTTTATTTTGCGGAGTTTATGTGCATATTCAAGATACTACTATGATCTATCCTTTCTGCTAGGTTTAATCTGTACAAGATATTGTGTTGAAACACTTGGGTTATAATTATCATTTGTTTACTTCAGCAAAATATGGGACCAGTCATGTTCTTGTTCTGGCTGACTTTTCACCAAGTACTAGAACAACAGAGCTGGAGAAGCTTTTTGAGGACTTCAAAGATCGTGGATTTGTAATTCGCTGGGTCAATGATACTGTAGCTCTTGCAGTATTCCGAACACCTTCTGTTGGTAAGTACAAAGTTACATGGTCTTTTATTGTTTTTCTTATTAATATTATTATAAGTTTATAACTTTTACATACATCAAGGTGTATTTGTAATGCATTATGATGGTGAACTAAGGTTGCATGCCGATAATTCAAAGCTTGTTGTGTAAACAAAAACAACTCTGTAACTGGTGATACGTGGTATTTGCATACATCTGACTGGCATTGTAATCAAATATTGATACTACCTTTGTCCTATGTTAAAAATGGCACTATCGACATTCAAAAGAAGGCATTTTGAACTTTGTACTGTCTTCACATATTGGAAAACAGAGGATGGGTATCGTCCATGTAACATTCCTTCAAGATATCTTGGAGACTATCACGCTTCTCACTCTTGTAAAACTATATAAGATGATATGTGCAGAGTATGGCATTGGTAGCTGACTTCGTTTACAATTATACTTGCGACCTACTTGGATAATTTTTTTTCCAGAAACATGACTAAAAGAGAAAAATACGAAAGAAAGTCAAAATAAGTTTCTCCATAAGCTCAAACTAGCTTAAATGAGTTCAAATTAAGATTTTAGAAAGGTTAATAGGAGAAAGTTTCTACAAGATAGGTTATGCATAAGCTAATTTAACTTATAAAAAATTCATTTCATTTTTTCTTATTATTTTGCTCTCCTAGAAGTGTTTTTAGAGAAATTTACCCAAACAGACCCTAAGCTTATTTTGATAGTAACAAAAATGCTCCCTTGAACAACTTTCTCATCAGTCATCCCTGATCAATTGATCTTCAACATTTTGAAGCTAGTCATGGCATATTGTTATGACCTTTCCCATGTCTTTTGGTGGCGAGAGGAAGCTTGTTGAATTTTCTTTAAGCTTTAATGATTTTCTATTCTACATTTTCTTTTTCAGAAAGAAATATCAGTCCCTGTGTTTTACTCGTAATATTGATTCAATTTGGTAGATTTTTTTTTCATGTCTAGCCTCTAATTTGATTAGTTAACCATTCAATACCATTAATTTATAATGCAGCCCTTGAGGCTCTAAACAGTGTTCGCTGTTCATTCACCACGAGGATACTTGATGAAGACGATACACTTCTTAGTTCAATTAAAGCAAGAGGTACTTCACTTAACTGCTTTTCCTTTCTACACAAGGGTAATACGAGGTTGTTTAATTTACATTAAAATTCTCTGTGATGCATTTACTTTTGAGAATATCATAGGGAATAAAAAATAATTGATGCTTTCTGTTTTTTGAAGTCATAAATATTTTGAGACAAACTAATAAATACACCCAAAAAACCACTACTATATAATTGTTTATTAAACAGGTTGCTTCGCTAGTAACTTAAGTAAATGTGTACACCCTGAATGGATCAGAAGCAAATCTAATGTTTATTAACACTTGTGAATCAATTAATGGTAAGAACTAAGAACTATATATGTTGGCTTACAATACATGGTTTTATTGTTGATTCAGACCTGGAACCACCACGGCAACGGCCGAAAACTTCAGCAGAAGCAGCACAGAGGCTGATTGCTCGTGGCATGGGGTTAAAATTGTCTTCTACGAGCGTTGGGTCCCAAGATTATAGAAAGCAAGAAGATGCTAGGAGAGAACGTATCGTTAACAGGCAAAAAATGAGAGATGAGGCTTGGGGAGACGATTAGGACTTATCTTATGCCACTCTTTTGATTATTCTACTAACTTGTAACCCCATAAAGAGAGATCGTATCATTGATTCTCTGTTTCTTTTTTTTTGTTTTTATTTATAGACCACATTTAGCCTCTAATATTTTCCACTTGTAGAAAGACAACTTTGTTCGAGTAGAATAGTTTTATTAGATTGTAAATTCTAGTAGGTTTCATTTCTTGATTATGTTTTTTATTTTTCATTCAAAGCTTGAATCTGAAATCGAGTTAGGTGCTGCTAAATGTTGGAAGGATGTGTGGTCATTTGATAAATTACTTATATCACCTATGCATTACATGGTAAAATTAAATTAAAAATATAAATTTAATGAAGAACATGTTAAAAAAATGAAATAAAAAATTTAAAATGGAAAAACAATTTATTTATATATGAATATAAGATGTGAAGGTAAAATTCAAGAATGCTAATACGTAAACTTTTTCAAAAATCAATACTAATACGTATAATTCAATTAATGAAAAATTTAGAATTATTAATTACTTAGAATGAATACTATAACTTGTTTCAACATGAAAACTCGTATTTTTATTTATTTATTATATATCAAATTATTAAGTATCTAAGTTATGCAATTAAGCATTTACGAGTGTATTTAATACTCTTAATTAATAAATTAGTTACATGGGATGAAGTAGTGTGTAGGCATGGTAAAGGGTGTGTCACGTACGAGTTTCATGATATCCATTCCTATTCTCACGGTTTAAACTCATTCTCATCCTTATTCCCGTATGTACCGGAAGGATCCTATCGGCCACGAGGACTGACATGTGATGTCCTATCGGACTTCGACACAATTCTCGGCACGACCTCGGCTCGGCAGAGGGTCGAAAACTAGGGACAACCCAACCCTTTTTCTATCGGCTCGGCCAAAGGCCGAGAACGAAGAGGTTGTCCCGACCTTTTCCTATCGGCTCGGCTAAGGCCGACAGAGCCAGACAGTAGTTAGGACGATGATCATGATTAACAAGGGGAAGCACGCGATTAAGGCCACGTGGATCGACACGTCATGTCCTATTAGATATTGACGTAGTTTGGACACTACTTCGGCTCGGTAAGGGGCCGAGAACCATGGAGAATTCAACCCTCTTCCTATCGGTTCGACTAGAGAGGTTGTCTCGGTCGTGCCCTGTCGGCTCGGCCAGAGGTTGTCTCGACCGTTCCCTATCGACTCAGCCAAAGAGGTTGTCTCGGTCGTGCCCTGTCGGCTCGGCCAAGGACCAATAGAGTATAGTTAGGATGATAATCATGGTTAACGAAATACAACACACAATTAAGGCGTAACTAGCCGATTAACATCGTATTACCTAATTTGGTAAATGTCAGGGAAGGCCCACCCCGCTCAGGCCCATGACAGGTAGTATAAATAAGTCTCACGAAACGAGGTATGACTGTTCATTTATTACTCTCGAGAATTATGCTTGTCCTGACTTGAGCTTCGGAGTGCCTTTTACAGGTACCTCCCCCTCTGAAGCGTCAACCAGAAGCTCTCGTTCGGCCCTCCAGTTACTAGAAGACTACGAGTGTGCCCTTAGACAGGTACATTTTGGCGCCCACCGTGGGGCCGAGCCGAGAGACTTAAGAAGACCAACTGAGTGAGAGCATTATGGCAAAGACAAGGAAGACCAACACCGAAGACCACCGATCCGAAGACGAACACCGATCCGAGGCAGACAATGCCGAGACAGTTGACGAGACAAACATGGCCGAAGTGGTACGGCAGATGAAGGAGGAAATGGCCGCCATGAAGCAACAACGAAAGAAGGATGCTTGCGAAATGGCCGCCTTGAGGGAAGAGAACGCCGCCCTGAAACACCAAAATCAAGATCCCACGTGGAAACCCTCCGAGCTGACCCACACTCAGGGGTCATTCCACTCACTCGGATAGCATACCTCCATCCCTCGTACTTCTACTGCCGCCCCGGGAAACCATGCCTCAACTGCTCAGGCACCTGGCTGACCCATGCACACCGTGCCGGCCGGAGCACATTGACACCCCTTCACCCCAAACATGATGCAATCTTCACTTCTTGATCATTGGAAGTCCCTACCGTTAGACAAGTATGACGGGACGACCGATCCAGACGAGTATGTCGACGTATTTTTGACCCAAGTTACCCTCAGCACTACCGATGACGTTGCCCTGTGCTGAATCTTTCCAACATCGCTAAAGGGCTGAGCATTAAGCTGGTTCACTCGACTCCCGGCCAACTCGATTGACTCTTTCAACACGTTGGCCTCCCAATTTACCATTCAATTCGCCACTAGCCGACCTCATTGTCGTAACCGGGATCACGACGGGATGACGCTAACATTTTTATTTTTCAATGGAGCCGCCACCAATATTTTATTTTAAGGGAAAAACATTGGAAAACCCTTTAAAAGATAATCTTTAAAATTAAAGTTGGGTTCGGGAGTCGATTACATGTAGGGAAGGTATTAGCACCCTACAACGCCTGTAAAAACAGTACCTTTAATTAATTGCGCAAAATTATATGAATTTATAAATATTTAATTTATTCCTCAAAAACGTATGTGACATATATTTTCTTTAATCTAAGATGCCCC